CACCTGACTACAACCTCCTTTCAGGGAGTTGTAGAGTGTGATAAGGTCTCCCCTGAGCCTCCTCTTCTCCAGGCTAAACAACCCCAACTCCCTCAGCCTCTCCTCATAGCACTTGTGCTTGAGTCCTCTGTCCAGCCTCATTGCTCTTCTCTAGACCCACTCCAGCACCTCAATATCCTTCCTGAACTGAGGGGCCCAAAACTGTACACAGTACTCAAGGTGTGGCCTCACTAGTGCCAAGTCCAGGGGAAGAATCACCTCCCTGGTCCTGTTGACCATGCTGTTCCTGATACAGGCCAGGATGCTGAACTTAAGTGCTCCAACCAGAGATCAGCCTAGTGTCTTGGTGAAATCTGGGCACAGAGCAGCTTGTTCTCCCTAACTCCCCTGATTTCCAAGGAAAAGAAACCCACTGGTGTAGTCCAGAAGGAAACTTTGGTTTAGGCTGCAACATAGCTTCTCAGGGACCTTGGGGACCATGCCTGCTGTCCAGCCTGGTGTCACACAGAAGGCCAGTTAGGATCAATGCAATGCAATTCCACTCAGGGAATCAGCTTTTCCAACCTGGAAACTTCTTTTCCTGTTTCATCAGGACAGTCTATGCCTTTTTAGAAATACGACAGCTTCCCTTCTATTTCAGTAGGAACGATTATCGTATTTCCAAATAGTTTGTGAGGGGAGTAATTGTGCTATTGATATATAGTGGCTATACTCTGTGGTATCAATCACTCCAACTCTTGAGATGTTTCAAAGGCAAATTCTTGCCTTCTCAGTGAAGAGTCAGATGACAGATTCCTTTTCCAGGCTTCAAAGTATGTTTGAAACAGGATGCTAAGAGAAAAATTCTGGTTATATTAGCAAATATTTATTAGAAATGAGTCCCTCTAGATGACATAGTGAAGGTTGTAGAGATGTCCTTGGCATCCTTACTGGTAATTTCCTGCAGCTTAACTGAGCTTGAAGGCTAAACAATGTTCTTAGCGGAAATGCTCCATGAAACCTTTGTTGTTTCATTTTCTATCTGGTCCTAGAGAAAAGGTAAGTAAACAGAAAATAATCAGAATTCAGTGATGTCTATTCAAAACAACTACATTTAGTTTATAAAGGCCCTCCAACACCTTAGAGTAAGAATTCATATTTTTTTGCAAACAGCTGAGATGTTAAGGTAAGACTAAAAATACGTTTTGGCATCTTTTTGAGATTTGTCCTGGAGGGGACCATTCAGGTGGAATAAGTGTGAGATGGTTTACATAGTCACATAGTTTAAAATACAAGTGGGTGATGGATATTCTGGTGGACACCTTTTAATGTAGTCAGAAATCTCAAATATCCAGGAAAAATAATGGAGAAGCTGCTGTTTCCACACTCCACCTTTGGGGGTAAAAAGCTGCGTTTGCAAAGCAGTAGAAGGTAGATTTCAGCCCATGTTAAACTGGCACATGACCTGAAACACAACCCAAATATGCCTATGTCACTGGCTTCTGTGTGAGATCCAGCATGAATACAATCCTGATAACAGAGAAGCAATAAAGCACACCAGTCTAACAGCCCTCCTTTGTCCAAGAGACAAAGTGAATAATTTGAGACCAGCATGACACAAATAAAATCACTTTTATTTCCTATTAAACCTCTTGAAATATGTTACTTCATTTTTTCATAAGAATTCTAAAGAGATATGTTAATTATGGAATGGTTGATGCTCTTACCATTTTCTGCCTTGAGCTTTTCTAGTTGCCACCAAATTCCCTTCCCAGTCTTGCTACTTTACATGAAAGTAGAGTAATGCTGAAGATGTGATTCTGCCATTTTCCAGAGCCTGACATTTGATGGGTACCCCTAGTGCTACCCTCCCTCACCATCCCTCCTTGCACTGAATTACAAACCTCAGGGATGTGAATAAGGCCAGTTAATGGTAAATGAATATAAGGTTATACACACAGTGGATTTGTCAGTCTAGCAGAATTTGTCTGGAGGATCAATTTGGTTGAGTTTCCTTGTAATGATTAGCCTGATAGATCACTTGCAGGCAGTTATG